TCTTTTTTACTCTGTTCTTTTCTTGCTATCATTTTGAGCATGCGTAGAAACTTATAGGTTCTGTAAAATTTCTTTCTTTGTTTGATATTTTTCACAAAATCACTTATTTTGATAATCTATTGAGCTTTGTAAATACAATAGGATGTCCTGTTGAGAAAAAGAAGGAAAAACAAAGATCATTTACATTATATAATAGAGCAGTAGGATCAGTAAAAGGGTAAGACATGAAATGTTTTATGTTTTGTGATTTTTTCAGTGTTTTCTTAAAATGAATGCATGGATATAACACTGCGACGAAGATCATATTTCAATTTTCATTGAAAATTTTTATTTATTTCGAGCTATTCGACAATTATCAATTGTCGTCACCAGGAAATAGTAACGCAAAAAGCAAGTACAACTATATATAACAATACATAAAAGGAGTATACATGTGGCAGTTTATAAATCAAAGAAAACACTTTTACAAATTGAAACATATTTTAATGAATTAATTACTTTAAATGCGTTTCAATTTGTAAAAGTGTTTTCTTTGATTTATAAACTGCCACATGAATACTCCTTTTATGTATTGTTATATATAGTTGTACTTGCTTTTTGCGTTACTATTTCCTGGTGACGACAATTGATAATTGTCGAATAGCTCGAAATAAATAAAAATTTTCGATGAAAATTGAAATATGATCTTCGTCGCAGTGTTATATCCATGCATTAATTATTTATTTCCATCTGTGTTTTCTTATATTGAAATCCTTTTGTTGCAAATTGACAAATAAATAATATTTCATACTAATGTAGCTCGATATTTTTGACTATTGCTTTCAGTAGAAAATAAACGCAATTCCAACAATGCAATACATGTCTATCCATCTGCATATCGAGATATTCGGTAAACAGATCTGGTCGAATTATTCGTACTCTTGTTTTTTTTCTACGTATGACATTGAAAAATCATTAATTCCGCCCATTTTTTCCTCGCATCAACAATTCGGTATATACTTCACTTACTCTACACATAAGAACTAGAAATTATTTCCGATGATACTCTTTGCTTGATTGAACTTCAACTACTATGAGTACGTAGAAAATTGAAAAATGCCGAGAATAATATCACCATGATATTGAACATGTTGACCGCTGAAGCTAATCAGTTGAATTATTAAAATCTTCAGATTTGCCATGAATGCGTATTGTCAAAGATCATATATGTTAATTAATATGTCAATCCTATTTAACACATAACATCTAAATCTTCTTTTATATATATATATATATATTATTGTTCGTGTTTAAAATTATGATGATTAATAGAAACATAGGACGCCGTTTTTGATAAAAAAAACTAATTCATGTAATCTACGATGTCAATTAAATTAATTATAATTCTTTACTATACTATATAGTAGGATTAACTAGATCAAGATGGCTGAGTTAGTTAGCAATTACTATTCCTCACCTTTTTTTTTTTTGCTATAAGTTACTATGTATGTTTGATTAAAATAGATTCGTTGGTTATTTAAGATGATAAATAGAAGGAATCTTGCAGTTATTCTTTACACATGCATTACTTCCTCACGGGTTTGGATCAGGAAATCGAGTGTTAGATCAATCCCATGAGTAATACATCTGATGTTGTTATTGAATACGAGAACTAATATATATATATATATTATTTGAGACAGAAAGAAAGGAAAAGAATATGACAACTAGTATGCGATTGATTATTTCTTCAGCGAAAAATGAATTTCTGATTAGAATCAGTGAGTAATATATTTTAATTTCTATATTAATTATAATTCTGATCACATTGCCATAGTGTCGTGCAGTACAAATAGTCTTACAGTTCATATACACCTATTATAAGTGTTCCTTCATGTTTAGTAGGCCATTGAAATTTAACGGAGGATTGCATACTTTTTGTTGATCTATCTGCATACAAATAAGTTATTTCGACAGAATACTATCAGACTCGTTTCTATTTTTCTCCATTTCGTTTTGCGCACTATCGTAATCTTCGCATACTGTCAAAAACTATTGTATGCAATACTATCTTAATCGAACTCAGCAATCATAGTCAAAGGCTATTCTATTTGTTTTTTATTTTAAATTTACATTCAGTCAACTACGCACACTGAAGACATTTCCTGATTATTTGTTCGACTTTGCCACTATTAATGAAGTGCCTATACTAATTGCATAAAAGAAGCGACACGTCCTTGAAAACTTCCTCTTTCGTCAGCGAACTTATTTTTATTATTCCTATCTTTTTTATGTTTTTTTTATTATATTGTGTCATTTCTATTTTTTTTAATATTAATCTAACTATCTATTCTCTCATTTATGTGCATTTCTTCTTAGTGACATATGACAAAATAAAATTAGAAAATGTTTTGACATTCATGCTTTTACACAAATTAAATTATTCGGCTCATTTATTTCATCAGTTTAGGAGATCACTTGAGCTGAGAATACTGCTACTTATTAGTTACGTTAGCTTCATTGATTTTATTCATCGTTAGATAGAACATCTTTTAATATGGTCAATATTATTTCTCTGATTTTTCCGCTGGAGAAACGCTTGATAAGCGAAGATATCGGAAAGAGTATTAAATACGGGAAAATAAAATTGAATTCTTTCACAGATCATCAGAGAAACTATTGCAAATATTTTACTCTCTAAACTTATGACGCAGTAAAGTGAAACACAATCTTGCCATAGAAAACGATTTTTTTCTCTTTCTTTTGAATGTGAAGTGCTTTTGTATTGTTTTAGAATATAATTAATTACTGAAAATTGCAAAATTGAAGTCATTAGAAAATATTTAGAATGAAAAAAGCATGTAATAGAATTTCATAGAAAAGAAGCTGTTAGCGCTATCTCTCGGTGATTAAAAATCTGAAAAACGGCATGATCACTGCAGGAAATCACATGAAGATGGCGTATTCAAAAGAGTTCTTTGTAGATTTGGTGAGACAGCTCGTTTGACGCTACCAGTGATGATCTACGCTAGGCTGGAACCGCGTCTCTGGTGGGCTGCGCTAGGTCTGAAGATTGTCTGTCACGCTATGTGATGGTTTCTGAATATATTGCGTAACAGTCTGTGATGGGCACTCAATTCATATGGTACTAATTAGTCAATTAATTAAAGCGTATGTCACGATCTGTAGTCATTGCTGAAGACCGTTTGTCACGCCCTAGGTAAATTACCCGTCGGTAATGGTCTGTGTGCGGAGGGGGGGGGGGGGATATCAAAAGTTTGTACCCTAAACACTTCAATACTTCTTTCAGGTCGTGTTGTACAAAATGAAGTGTACTATATAATTTCTTTATCAATGATGAACACAATCAGGAAGTGTTCATCTGATTACATTTTTCATAGCATGATTCAATCTAATGAAGTCGACAACGTGTTATTCCTTCAGTGAAGGAATTCTACTAAGCACCCTGTGATCTATTCGAGAAAGCAAAAATTATCGATCTAGAAATGTCATGATCTCACGCGTTTGTAATCAGATGGGAATAAAATATCTCGTCTTATTCATTATGTAAATAATGATAATAACTTATTATTCTAATAGACAATATTATATTTGTTTCAATTCCGTAGAAATATAAATATAAAAATATATATATACATAGGACAGTCAAAAAGTAATGGCAAGAGTACTTTAGTTTGTTATAAGAAACCTTAAAAGTCTTTCTTTCTATATAGTCTGATAGAGAAAAAAAATGCTGTATTTTTCTATGCCATTTGATTATACTTCAAGTAATCTAATGATAATAAATTTTCGGTAAAACGTTTTTCGTTATCATGTCTGCTGGATCACAACAGAAGAGACAGATTAGTTTCAGTCTCTTAATAGATTTTATCAACAATCAAAATGTATCATAAGATGTAGCGTGAAAAGCTCTACATTTTATATACGACCAATTATTTTCTAGCTACACTGTTTTGTTTTCAAAAATACACAAAGGTTTGGGGAACTGAACTTTGGGCATTGCGAAAACTGGTATCACAGAATTTTCCTTTTTATGAAGACGGTTACAATAAGCTTTACTGTGAAGATTTTAGAGCTTTTACGCTGCATCTTATGGTATACTTTGATTGTTGACATGATGTATTAAGGGACTGAAAACTGCAATTCAAACTTACATCCAGTAGATATGGTAACGAAAAAAGTCTCACCCAAAATTTATTATCATTAGATTAGTTGAAGTAGAATCAAGCAGCATAGAAAAATAGAGCATTATTTTCTCTATCAGAATATATAGAAAGAAAGGTTTTTAAAGCTTCTTATAACAAATTAAAGTACCATTGCCATTACTTTTTGACTGCCCTATGTATATATATATATATATATATGAATAGTTTCTGATCGAGATCATTAAGCAGTTGAACAAATAGTAGGTATTACAAATATTTATAATAGGAGATATTTTTCATATTTACATGTAAAATATAAAAAGTTTCGATGAACATTAATTTCCGCATGGCGTATTTATCATCTGCGAGTGTAAGGAAAAACAAAATACGACTAAACCGAATGAATACTATTTTCTTGTCAGCACAATTTTCAAAGTTATCGAGTAACATATTTCTCTTCGAGTTATTAAACATTTTCATGTGAATATTAGATTCTATTTTTAGTAAGCTGTTCGCTATGAAAGATCTATTGCTATCATTATTATTATCATCCTTAAGCTCTACAGGTAACATTTCATGGTGACAGATTGATTTAACCTAGAAGGATACTTATAAATGTCAACATTTGCTATTTATATCAAAAATAGGAAATACTTCACTAGTTCGCCTAGTAAATACGTCCATCGTGCATGCTACTTTCAAAAGCAGTCTGTTATGAATGACATATATATTCAGTTAAATCCATCAGGTTTATACTTAACTTTTCTTTTCATGTTTTTTCTCATTCCGAGAAAAAATATATGTCAATACTTAGATTTTCAAAGTAGTGACATTTTAGTTTTGTTCTAGATCGATATGAATAATTCTTTAATATATTCACATGAAAATTTTACACGTTGGATATCAGTTATATTATCCCCGATAATATTAATCGGTTGTGCTATTGGAAATATAGCATCATTTATGGTTTTATTACGACCACGTCTTCGTCGACAAACAACATCAATCTATTTAGCAGTTCTATGTATTGCTGAAATAGGAACATGTTATACTGGTCTTTTAAGACAATTTTTGCTTGATGCATTTCGTCTTGATATTCGAACAATAAATCCATTGGCATGCCGGTCACACATTTACTTCACCTACTTATTTCTTCGTCTAGCTCCACTTCTACTTGCTCTTGTTACATTACAACGTTATTTTTATGTTACTCAACGTGCTATCTGTTCTTTAAAATCAACATGTGCACAACTAGTTTGTCTATTTATATTTGCTTCTACAGCTGAATTACATTTATTTGCCTTCTATGATTTAACCTATTCGGATACACGGCCAAGAAGTGAACACGTACCATTTGAATGTACTGTAGATAAATTGCATCATAGCACTTATTATGAATTTCGTAGTAAAATCTATCCAAAATTAGCACTTGTTGCATATACAGTAGTTCCACTAGCTATTATTATTATTGGTAATGTTCTATTGGTTCGAACAGTGCGAAAAGCATCTCAACGTGCAAAATGTAAAACAAAGAAAAAACGTTCCGTTACAAGAATGTTATATGCTGTCAGTGTGCTTTATACAGTATTAACATCTCCGGCATCTATATTTCTCGCAATAGCACCGGCAAGTTATCAATTAGCACCAGCTTTTCGTTTACAATGGACATTATTGCGTCTTTTATTTTATTTATGTCATTCAGTGAATTTTTTACTATTCTGTGTGAGTGGCACATTTTTTCGACAGGAATTTATTTCATTCTCACGTTCAATTTGTGTTATTCAATTGAATTGGAAAAGTAATCACAATCACGCTGTTGGCATAGATGGTATGACAAAATTTGAAGAAATATTAAATCCGACTTTAAAATCTCGAACTCCTAGTGGCAATAGCTTAACGAAAACTGAAAAGCAAAGTTCAAAATTAAATGAAACACGATCAGCAGAAACTCCACCTGAAATATTAAAAAATTCTACATCTTGAAATATATTTTGTTACTGATGTTAACTTTATTTTATTTTGTAAATATTCTGTATCACAGAGCTATGCACATTAAAAAAATGAAGAAAAAAAAATACACTCATTTACACACAGCTAGCAATTTTATTTTATCGAATACCTAAATCAATGATATCCTCTGATATGATAGTATGCAGAGCACGTGCTAAATCTGCTTTCATTTCTTTAAATGAAACTGGACGTCGATATTCATCTTGTAGTTCAGTTCGTGATGGAGGTTGCGGCGGTCGAATCGTTCGTCTAACATCGTAAATAAGTTCATAGCCACCGTTTGATTGTCGATGTTGAGGGTTCAAATCAACAATGCGCTGCATGTCACGTTCGATTAACTCAGGATTTTTCTCATATAAACGTGCTCCTAAGAAATACATCAGAAATAAATTCAAGATGAGGTAAACGGCAGATCCGAAAAAGGATGCATAGAGAACATTACCTAACCTCATGAGACATTACAAGATGAGTCTTAATGAGACTACTCTTCAGCTCCCCGTTTTCCGTTTCGGAAGTTCTTTGTCGAAGAACTTTTCGAAAATGTTCTACCGCGAAAATTAAAGTCCTATATCGTCACTATTCAAAAGCCTGGAAATTACACTATTTTTTTGTTCGCAAAACATAAACCCATTACTATTATCGACGCAAGCGAAAAGAAACTAGAAATAAAATTCTCTACAGTAAGACATTACAAAGTAGAAAACTATTTAATTATATCAAAATAGTTCCTCGATAAAAACTCAGCTTCAACACACTATTTGCTTTGCATTAAAAACAAAAAGAAAACAAAGGCTTTCATTTTCTAGAGCGACGAAGACATAGAGTGTCCAACAATTGTTCTAGTAACCGTTAACAGTAGAACAATATCGGCGTTTTTATTTACCCCAATGCATAGTTTGAACCATAAAATTTTTTCTTGCTATTTGTTGTTTAACATTTTTTGATAATAATGGCATTAACACTTCACCCATTTTCAAACATACGAAAACAACGTGCTAAAAAAAACGTTTTTCTATTGACCATCTCACAAGATCAAGAAAACAATCAATCAAACCTCAAATACAATGAGAAAAGCAAGGCGTGCTACCATTATAACATAATAATCATGATTGGTTTGATATGGTTTAGAATCCCATGGTGGTGTACGATGATCCTTAAAACTGAATTAAACATTTGAGCAAAATATGTAATTGATAAAAACGAATGGAATCTTACAAGCAATAAATACTAGTGGTATTAGATTCCTGTATTGATGATGGTGCAAGACGATTGATTTCATATGCTGATAATGTAAAGTTTACATAATTAACCAATGTTCGATTTTGACTTCGAGAATATTGATATACAAGACGAGGCACAAAATCCGATGTTAATGCTATAAGTAAACCCTATGAATTTAACGAGAAGAAAAAAGGCAACTTTTTATTTTCAAAAAGAAACTCCAAATTTCTTTCTTTTACATTTGTTAGAATAGCTAATTTTGATATTGCAGCTATGATTAAACGCCAAATACCTAAGAAAAAAAAACCACCCGCATAAGTTTGCTTGTTGATATGAGAAAATATTTATCTAAATACCAATATCAGCTACTTTTTTAGCGACTGGCCGACGTACATCGGACACGAATTTATTTGCATCAATTCGAATTTCAACGATATTATTCAGAAAAGCACATAGTGGAGCAACTAAAAGAAAAAAAATCGTTTATTCAGGCCATTGAAATATGATATTTTTCTAATTGACATCACGTTTGATCAAATTCAGATTAACATAGATACGTTCAAAAACAAGCAAATCCATGAATGCTAGTATTTACCGAAAACTTTTTGACCACCAGATAATTATCGAAAAGTCAATTTTTGTACTTCATTTTCGTATCATCTAATAAAGCATATTTTAAAAACCAAACAACGAAATAGAATTCTTCGGATATCGGTGAATGATCTTATTTATAGCATAGAGTATCAGCCATTCCGCATTTTGTTTACTTTGAAAACAAGCGATGTGCGCATAAAATAAGGTATTCTATATAGGCTGTAGAGCTTTTTACGTTTCATCTTTAAAATGAGAAAAACGATGAAGTGCCAATATCGACTAACGATTGTGGGCTATCGTAGATATAGTAAAATAATTATAATTCGCTTCACGTTTATATCAAACAACAAGAATGAAAGAGATAGACAGTCATTTGCGGTACATAATTCAAGATTATATTGTAACAAGCACCAATCATGGTTGTCGATCCCTGTACTTGCATAGTATTTCGAGCGTTTTCAAAATAAAAAGCAAAACTTGGCTTCCTGAGGTCGCGATGAATCGAGAGATTTCTGGATGATTCATATATTTATCCAAGATACTATTTTGATCATGGCTATGCAGTCAAAATTTTTCTGTTCCGTAGATGCTTCAAACTCCTTGTACGAGTCCCATCTTATTAAATTGAAATCGAAGAAGAGTAATCTTCATGCTTGCACAAGCAATGGGCTTACGTTTTTTGGTGACTCTTTTCTCTTGTAAGCAGAGTCTAATATTATGTTATAATCAGCACGATTTTAAAAAGAGCTATCAACATATAAAGAATACAGAATAAAAACTGTAGAAAATGTTAATTGGCGCTATGCTTCTATTATTGTTTAGAGTAAAATTTATCATGTCTCATTTTACCTTGATATTTCTATGTAACTGTCTGAAAACCCTAGATTTCTTCATTACTACTCAATGTTAAATCTATATAATAAATTTATCAGATAAAAATTTATGTCTATACAATTATTAGTGCCATCATCTCTACCCAGGAGAATGAATCCTAGCCTAGGATCCGATGAGTTCCGATCGGTTCCTATTGGAATCCGACGGAGCTCTTCGGGAGGCGCAAGGAAACTATCGCATTATCGTCGGATTCCTGGTTCCGGAATCGATGTCGGATCCTAATATCGGAAACTAATAAAATCCGACGGTAACCGTCAATCCGAACCGGAATGCTTCGGATTTCATTGGTTCCGACAATCGGATATCATTGTAAATACGACTGTCGGATCCGACATTGATTCCTCAACCAGGAATCCAACGGGATTTTGTCTGATGGTAGGATCCCCATAGAATCTGATGGGATTCGGTATCAGATTGATTCACCTGGGTATTGGTTATATAAGAATTCTACGGGTATTTCACACAAGTAATATCATTTAATAGATATCAATTAGAACTTTGCAGATAACATAGATTCGATCTATTTGATTTCCTATATAGCAGCCTCTGTACTATAATAAGAATATGTATTCTAACTTCAGCAGAATTCTAATACTATTTTTTAGCTAATATATGTGCGTATATAATATTACAGAAATTCGTTTGAATTACTATTATTAGTAATAAAATGTCTTGGATGAAAATTATGAATCAGTCCTTTCAAGGTATATAGTTAGTAATCAAGTCTTCATATAGAAGAAATTTTATGTAAATTAGAGATCTATTTGAAAGGAATTGAAGGTCAGTTTTAGTTCTTTTCTCTCAAAAGAAATGGATGAGTAATAACAATGTAGATCTACGATCATGCATTCTCAAAGATCTGCAGCTAATTAGATGTTAAAACCCACAAGTTGAAAATCTCGTAGAAGAAAACCGTTTTCTTTTTATGTTCAGTATCGTCATGAAAAAAAGTAACGAATTGAAATGATACAAATAAATTACATTCGCTAATCAAGAATTTTATTAAAAATACTTTTTCAATTTCAACTATAGAAACTGCTGTCTAGTAAAATCTATTTCCATGAAACTACTATAAAAACAAAAGTACTCAAAGCACTTACGTGGAAAGGCAACAAGAAACATTGTAACAAATCCATATTGAATAACTTAATATAAAATAATTGAAAAATAAAAATGAAACCAGGTATCTATTTCTTACTCAATTCAAGATATTCATAGAAAAGAGTCGTTGTTGTCCATCTTTCTAACCTATTAATTGTTTATACTGATTATTTTAATTGCTTATTTTAATATTTTTTACTTACATAAAATCTTCTTCTTGTGGTCTTTTACTATACCAATGAAGCGTATGATGACGACGATATCTCATTTGTTTAAATGCATTTCTATGAATAAGTATTTTACGAAAAAAAGTCCAAAATTTTCTAAAAAAATATGCTTCAACAAAATTAAAGAAGAAATAGAAAATAATGAATTTTTCTTACACCATGCCGATTTCAAATAAATTATTGATAACTTGTTTACCAACAAGTATAACTAATAATTGAATAGATAGTTCAGCAAGACATCCACTAGCTTCACACTTAATTATTAAAATCAATTTTCCTTTTTCTTTTAAGTACTATCAGAGACATTTGTTTTCTTACTTCTTCGGTTTTATATTTTCCTATTTTATAACTTTCGACGCCAGGCGGATTAGTGAACCATGGTTTAATAAATGCAATATAGAAAATACTTGCATAAAAGTTAACAAATTGAAATAAAAACATTTTTAATGTTAATGCATTTTCATAATCTTTTTCCGTGCGATGAATTTCTATAGAAATAAAACAATAATAATGTTATTTGCCATTTTAAATAAAAATCTTCTTCTACCATAATCTGTTAACCATATAGCTAATCGTTCATACAATGAACTTAGTGCAATGATAACAATAAGATTAATTATTGCACCAGTTATTGAAGCAACGTGCGGAGAATAACGACGAACAAATTCAGGTGTACGAGTTGAACTGATAGCCGCTTTAATACTTATTCGATAAAGTACAACACCGAAAACAAAACTTAGAACAAGGCAAATCTACATTGAAAAAACAAATTAAGAATTTTATGTTTTTAATAAATATATGACGTGTAAAAAGGGAAGAGTATGTTTTTAACTAATTAGCTGATGCACACTAGCACACACTTTGGTTTTGCTCAATTATCCACTGAATAATCGGATTACCGTGTTATAATTAACGAGAATTTTATGCAATCTTAATAATTGGACGGCAACAGATAATAATCTATGTTTCTTAATAATCGAAAAACGACGCATCCGGAGATCTTATTTTTGAAATCATTCAAGAAAAAGAAATAGTTTATTTTCGAACAAATGCATAAAAACGGCACTATGCTTCAAGAGGATTTTTGATACAATGCTAGAGAATCAGTTAACAAACAATAGAATCCCATTTAATCTAAGCCTGCCGATAAGATATTGACTTTGCTATACATTAAAGTCTAATTAGATATTAAGTAGAATTATATTTCTAGGATATATTGAGTGAGAAAAATAAAATGCTATGTAATTGATGTCTTTTCTTTTACGAGTCATTTTGATACAGAATGCTTTGCTCTACATAAATATGGTGTTTTGTTTTTCAAATTAATTTTCTCGTGTTTCAACAAAGATTCATCAATGCACGCTTCGTAAAGCTGCTAACTGCAAATATTGATTTTTCGTTGATATTCTTTTTATCAATTTCTACAACTGATTTAGATTTAGCGCAGAGTAAAAAACATGATTTCGAAGTTGAACTTATTGCATGATAGTGTCATTTTCGGACTGATGAATTCAGAATTTAATTCTCGGAGAAACTATCGTGACGGCTTAGTTGAAAAATCCAGAGAATTAGCTTGTATCGAAATAAAAGTAAAAATAATCTCGTAATTCTACCGGATAACTAGTTTCTATTTTTATTTCGCGATTAATCTTAAAAGTATTGCTGTTAATATTTCGGAACATGCATTAAAAGATTTAGAGTTTAGTACAACGCGCACTGCCATGTTTAACATTGCAGTGGGTTTTACTTGTAAAAAAATTCACATTTTTAGTCATTAAATGGTTGACATGGCTGAAAAATCAAATAGAAATCACTAACAAATGCTTTTCTTATAAGTTCCTCTAACTGAGCAAAAAAGATAGAATATTACTATCACATTTGATCTATACCAGCTATTCGCTATAGAATTTAGGCAGCTATCAACTTTGAAAAAAAAAAACAGACTGCTTTGATAGATGTTTCGTGAGAAGATGTAAGATTTTCAAATAATTTTCTGTTGAATGGTTGCAAGCCCAAAAAGATAAGTATATCGAGCATTTTCCTCTTTTGATTGCTAATAATCAGAAGTTTCTTGCTTTTGACACAGTTGAGCGATTGAAGTAACCCCTCGAATTCTATAATTTTCACAGGAATATCAGTTGGACAAATTATAAGGACAATATTTTTCCAGGGATGTTTCTGTAGAATATTATTATGACACTAGAAATTACAAGTAGTGTAAAGATCGACGATTGAAGTATTTAATCATTTATTTTATACTTTTGTTCGTTCTATAGGAATTTCCATGGGGACAAAAACCAGCACATATTAATATGGGCTCAGATACACTTGCGCATGAGAATGAGATCACAAATAGTCTTTCGAACGTCATTGAAAATGTTTTTAATCGTCTACAGAATTTTCATATTTCCAAAGTAGTTAATTTCCTTAGAGACTTTTATTTGAAAAGCATGGGTTTCTATTGATGAAATAGCAACGATCACATAGATGTCATTCTTCGAAACATTTTTCTGAGAAAAAGATAACTGGAAAAAATAAATAAATAATTGCTTAATTTAAAAATTACTGCAATTGAGATTAAAGAAAATATGTATATGTAGAAGTTATTTTTTTTTTGTCTACTAATCAAATTAGGAAGGTTGTTAATCACAAAAACATAATTTTTCTTCAATAGATATCAGAATTTTTATGCAGCGTGTTCATATCTATGATTCAACAACAGTAGCGAAATCGTTGAAGAATTTTCGTCTATGATTGTTCTATCTAAAATTTTAAGCACTTTATTGAATTTACGATTGTTGAAAATCTAGTAGTCAAAAGTCGAATAAAAGTAAGTTTGATCGTAAATCTTTTCTCCCGAGTAAATTTTCTCATTATATAATTGGCCTGAAATTTTCACTTGAAATATACAATTTCAGCTAGAATTATTGATGGTTGAAACGTTTCTTTAATCAATCAATATTTTCAATCAATAGACGATTACAGAAATGTCAGATTCAATATATTTTTTTCCAGAGTTTTCAAAGCCGCTTACTATTTAGTCATATTATTGTCATAATGTCTCGAGTTTCAAGGTAAGCTGGAGTATATTGACTTCCGCTTGTTATTTTCTTCATCGGCTACATTCTATTTCCGTTAAGCCTTAGAAATCTTCTGCTACGTTATTCTGCTATGAGCATTTATGTCATTGTCAGCCCATATTTTTTTACAAAGACTTCAATTTTCACCTATTCATAGTTTTAGCTTTAAAAGTCCACATTAAAACTCATTGATCATACTTAATATAAAGAAAGAAAAAGAAAGAAAAAACAAAACGAACCATCATTGCAACAATAGAAAATGATGATACAGTTTTTGCAAATCGTTCTCTAGCAGGCATATACTGTTCGACGATACCAGTTATTGGATTAATACGTGTTGTTCGTACTTTACGTTTGAAATCTGGTCGTGGTTCGTCTAAACCACTGACTCCATATCCACCATCGATTAAATCAAATGTATCCCATTCATACTAAACAAACAATAATATTTCATTGATCATCATTTTGTTTTCGTCTCTAATTTTACTTGAAATTGATATTCTGCAACATCCCAAGCTGGAAGAAATAGAGCTGACCATACAGTTACTATGGCTGCATAAGCAACAGTTGCTTTATTATCAAATAAAAATGCCATCTGGACGGAGAAAAATAATAATAAAGCTATTTTTCCTGAACAAATCAATATTTGTACCTTTGCATAAAGACAATCTTCACCTAATCTCCATAATTGTCGGTGAGATCTCGGACACATAACTGTATCTGCCAAATTATGGCAAATGTCATTGCTAAAGATAAAATACAAATATTTACCTATCTTATTCAATAAAATAGGCTTACTGACGTGGGTACATCGTGTTTTACTGCCCAAAGACCATAGAAAAAAACTGAAAGACCAAGTAAACATGGAAGTAATAACATTTGAATATACCTAGAATAAAATCGCATGCATCTCAACTCTATGATTCATAAACAAAAGTTAGAATAAACAAACCATCGTAGCCAACAAAAATATAATGCAACATGTTCACCAAAATAATCTTTGATATGGCTAATCGGTTGCTCTTTGAAAGCATTACTTATCCGACTCCAATGCCACCATAATTTCTATAAATAAAAAGTAAAAATAAAAATAAATTCAAGAAAAAAATAAAACTGTACACACCATTCGATCAAATGTATTCCGATGTTCACCCTTTGTCATTATCCAAGATGGAATCATATGTGGTTCAATATTTTTTAATAATGGCTATAAAAATTTTAAAAAATAAGCCTGAGAGAAAATAAAATTTGCTTTAAAATGAATTTCTTACTGCATGTAAAGGATAACAATCATCATAAACTTGATCACGAAGAAGAAGTTCAATACCTACAAAAAATAAAATAATTACAAATCATTACTATCTGGTCCCAGAGATAGACAATAAACAAATATTTCTTGAAATTTATTCTTTTCTCTTGTTTGAAGGATTCTTTTCTGTTCTCTCTCGCTCTCTCTAAATGCTTCCACTTCCTGATATCTATTCATAAAAATGAACTAGATCAAATAGCACTATTTTTTTTAAGCGTCTAATTTCATAATAGAAAATAGACGTAGAACCTCGAAGCTTCGAACAACAATATTAATGATAGAATATGTGTAGAAGAGAGAGAGAGAGAAATATTTCCATTCAATGTTTTGTTTCTAGCTATATACAATTAAACGTGAAATTCCAGAAAATGATATGATAGAGATTAATGATAGCCCAAAATTCAACGAGATGTTATCGAAATGTGAAGATATTATCAAGAAAAATGATGACATTGGTATTCATTTTTTCCTCTTCACTCATGAACAAGCTCGGATCTCGTTATCATCTTTTATTTTTTACCAGAACTTGTTGAAAATCCAGTAAATATTTTTTCTAATTCCAGCACACGTCTTTCTTTCGCATCGCCTGTGCCATGCAAAACTAAAGAAAAGTAATTAGTTTTATTATTTGCATGATCAATAAATATTAATTCTATTAACTTTGTTGCTCTTCAATTCCTGTAGTCGTATCAAATGGTGTTCTCAATAAGCAGTCGTAAACAAGACGGCTACGTTGAGCTGGTGTAAAATACATATCACGTAAATTGCCACGAAGAGTATCAAACAATGGTTCAAATCTTTTTAAACGAAATGAAAAATCAATAGAATCGAAGTTCGTATTTTTGTTTTTAATTTGTCTACACTTACCGATATCTTAATGTTTTATCATATTCAGCAAGAAAATAATGTTGTTCAGGTGAAAACATTGTACGATCAATTTGTGTAAATGGTATCCATGACATTAAAAAATCAAACGGCCTTTTTGGAACACAGGGCGTTCGATTTTCCTTAATAGAACAATACATAGTTGATATTGAGTACAATAAATTATATAAATATCATATAATCTATTGATTTAAAGTAATCTTTCACTTGAATAATAGTACGCTAGATCTATGAAGTTTTCTTCTCATTAATATAATTCATTTCATGATAGGTAAGATGATGTGAAAACAAATCTGAATTTCCCTCAAGGCTAACAAGTTAAAATAGATAAGAAAAAATAATAACGAAAGCTAATATATTATTTTCTCGATGAAAAAAAAACGTTCCTTGCTATATATTTACTTCTATGGGTAATTTCATTCGTGTTTTTTCGGCTAATTCAAGCAGAAGTTCAAACGGTGCGTGAAGACGAACAAAACGTTTGACAGATTGACGTTTTGGTTGACTAGATAGACGCTTATGACGATTAAATAGACCATTGGCAGTTACTTGATTATTTTCATCATCATCACCATTATCATGTCTCGACTCCTAATAGAATTTTGAAGAAGAAGAAAAAAATATATTGAAAAATTTTTAATTATTATTTTGTATATACCAATGCTCCAACAATATCTTGTTCTTCAATTTCAAAACCAACTGATTCCAGTTTACGTTGAAATGCTTGTCGACGTTGTTTATTTAATGCTGAATCACGAACTCCAAGACTATAGACAAGTACAAAATCGATGCGACGACGTTGTCGACAATCGTTAGTAGTGCCGCTACTTGGTGCTGTCAAGTAGAGCTGTCGATCAGCCTCTTCAAGCCAATCAACAGGACGCTAAGAAAAAAATAATATTCTTTTATTATATCTATTTCAAGTGTCAACTAACAAGTCGTAATGAATTAAAATAGATAAATAGGTGAACAGTCTTATTAGGTACTACACACAAAGGAACAACACAAGATTACAAATAATATACAGGCAACGAAAACACACGACATATATACCCGCAATTTTCTTGAACTTACCAATCGTAACAAAGTTCGACAACCGCCACCACCACTGACACTACTGCTGACTGACTTGTTACTCATCAATGAGTGATTGGTCTTGATCGATAATTTATATCAATTTCAATTTTATGTATTAAGTTAGACAAATATGATAAGAAGAAGAAATGGTGATCATTGTCCTATAGTGTCTATATGCGCGTTTACGCGACCAGAATAATTAAAATGACTGCTTGTATGTTACCAGAGCGGCTTCTTCTACTGCTACTTATTTTTCTCTTTTTCTTCTCTTCTACTATTCCCGTTACTTGTGGTGCATTTTTTGAACATGTAGAGACATGATGCTGTCTGAATGAACTCGCAAGCGAAGAACAGAGAACAAGGGACAGAAACCAACCCTGTCGCTACTCTCGAAAAGCAATCCTTATTTAGAGAGAAAGAGAAAGAGAGGAGCACGTAGAGAAAAAAATAGAAAATGTTAGAATGGGTAAGAAATTTAAAAAAAAGTATACGAAGCTTTCACGTGTATGCACTGGTTGGCTGAAGTTCGAATGAAAAACAATACTCGCGGGTGCTATAGAACTATATTGATTAATAACTATCGAAAAGCTATGATGTCTAGAATCGTCAATGAAAAGGAATTGGTAATGATTGCCAACAAAATAAATTTTTAGAGAGAAAATTCAGCAAATGGTATATCATTAGTTATACTATTGCGATTTTCCGATATACCTAGAATTCTCTGTTTCAATTTTTTTTGTTTCATGTTTACAATAGAAACAAAAAAATAAGAAAGACAATGAAATCAACTCTTGTTTTATAATATGTTCATTATCCGATATCAGAAATAGTTAGAGAAAAATATTGTTCTAGCTATAATTAGTATTCTCGATAGTTTACATACTATTAAGAATAAAGATTTTATGAGAATTTACTTTAGGGAATACTCAACTCTTTTTTATTATTATCAACTATTGAAACATGCAAGATTAACGATTCATCGCCACTTGTTGCCAACAGAATATATTGATATGGTACTCTACTTCTTTCTCTCTCTCTCTCTCTCTCTCAATACTCAAATAGCAAGAATATAACCAATTATAATCGACCATTTAAGTCATACTTCGATAATTATATTAACGACTAGTGTTTGTTTTTCTGTCATACAAGCGTTTACATAAGTTGACTTGTATCTATTGTTTTATTATGATATTTTATTCAAAGAAGATCACGCGCCCATATTGAACGAGAGAAAAATTGAGTTTCCATTGTCCTAGTCATGTTTCTCATAAAGTTTTTTTTTCTTCTTATTTTGTAAATTTCCTTTTTAATTGATGCACCATATTAAATAATCGACTGACGTGAGTGAATTAGCGGCAGGAGGAGGAAAAAATAAAAATTTATACTTTCTTCGACATCCGCCCGATGCAAAGTGATGAAACCTATTTTCCTTCGATACGTATACATTGTGATTGTTGATTCTGTTTGAGCTAAATAAAATAAAAAGTTACATTAACTCATACAAATTTAACTTCAAACTCGCAGTGGAAGAAGGAGAAGTATGTCAACGTTCGATTATGAATCGATCAATAAAACTATAACAACTGGTGCTATCGTTGCACTTGTTGTTAGTACAGTTTTTGGCTTCATTCTATGTATCGGGACTATCATCATAATTGTTTGTTTAATCAAACGTTGCAATCAATCGTCACGTTCGAGAGTTCATGAAGCAGTTCTACACCAGCCTTTTCATTATTCTAATTATTCGTTGCCTCAAAATTCATTCAATACAACTAGTACTACTGATCATCCACCGGTATACCTTTCAGCTCCACCACCCTATCAAATAGCTCTTCTATCGAATAATGTTCCTAATTCAGGCTTCATGAAACCTCCATACCGATAAACATTCCTATTTTTTCTTGTTGATAACATATATAATTGTGAATGTAAAATATCTTTATTTTTATCCTGGTTTCAGTATTAGTTTCATCTTTGTCATTAATATTCTATGTCATAAATGACATAATTGAAACAAAATAAAATGAAACGAAGTTTATGAATATAATCTTTAAATATATTTTTTGATTACGCGTTCGAATCAAAATGAATAATGCATATTCAGATATGAAAAACAGAAAAAGAAAATTTCTTCTTGAAAACACATATCTCATTACATTTGATATTCATGCATGCATGGAATAGCAGGCGAAGAATATAAATAATTTTCGATCATGAGAAATTAATTGGAGGACTTTACAACAAGAGTGCGTTCTTTTTTTTCTAGATTAGAACAAAACAATAATACATACATATTGAAGCATATAAAAGAAGAGCATACTTGAACGATGAAATGAAATTGTTCGAAACGGTAAATTGAAGTTTTTCTTTACCGCTGAAAATTACATCCAACGGCAACATAAGTAGTTCCTGTTTCCAAAGAGGAACATCATGACAAAAATCTGTTTATTATGAAAAATTATAATTAAAATCTGTAAGAATGATAGTTTAGAAGAGATATTAATCAATTTTAATCGTTATTAAGACCATTTCATGTTTCATGTAATTCTTTGGACTTGCCTATTAACGAGATTAGTTTTATGGGATATTCCATCGCGGTATTTTGCATATTACATAGGATCAGTAAGATGAAAAAAGTACTACTGATGGTCTTGTTATTTCTAATTTATTTTTCATGCAAACCTTACATCCGAAAAAATGACCTATATAACATTGTACTAATGCAGCATGAGTTTATGATGGCGAAATGACATAATAATTACCGTGTATTTACTCCAAAGAGATATTTCAGACAGAATAAGAAGAGCTAATATTTCATCATAATAAGTGTATTCATGTCTATAGAAGATCATCTTAGATTATGATCTTCGCTAATTATAAGTACCATTGGATTTACGTAGTACTACGTTCTATCAATAGATTACAAGAAAATGATGTGTCTGCTTTTACTATAATAAATAAAATAAACTCATATTGAAGCATGACAAGTAAGATAGTATTGCTTGTTTCTTTTTTTTTCTTTATCGAACGTCCTTAGATCATTATCAACCATGCTATTGGACATCTCAGAGCTGGATCTAGAGTTCTTAATGCTATTACTATTTAATGACAGTGCTTATGATTTATGTGAGTATTCTAAGAAAGAAAATATGAAACTTGTAGGTTTAAGTAGTCCTATGCGATAGCTCAAATTGATGAGTCGATTTACGAATGAAAAAAATTTGAACAAATCTTAAGATTTTGTTTATTTTCAAGAATTTTTCCACACGGGAAATAGAGCAAAATTAATAGACAAGAATACACTGATCAAAAATTAAACAAAAGAAACAACGACAGCAAGTAAATGTTTGATTTGTAAAATCGGAAATTTCTAAAGAATTCTACAATCAGGTTTTTCATGTTTCGGTAGTGCTCGATGGGGTATTTGCAGGTTTTTTAAACAATCGGTAGATCGACGTCCTATCCGATTGCCATGCGTCGCTAATCATAAGTCAATAGTGTTTGATATCTTAAATAAGTCGATTGATGCAAATATGTTTTTCTCCGTCATCTGGCTCACATCTACTATGAAAAGATCTTTCAAAAACAAAACGTTTCTCTGAATAAAATCACAAAACTAATGTTCTTTTCGTTTACATAAAAATTACCATTTGATTACGAAAAATAAACTCACGAGATAATACTTTCTAGAAGGACCATTAATTTTGATACCCTTGAACTCAAGTACGTCGATTAATACGAGCTAGATAAAAAGAAGAAACTATCACATTAAAAGTTAGTCTTTTGATATATTATTTTCCAATGAAAATCTTACAAGTAATTTCATAGCGGAATTTGATTAATTGTTTTTTCCTTTCTGCATTTTTAGTAGATGCAAGAAATTAATTAGAAATATTTTTGTCACGAAACGTATTATTCACAAAACGGATGGATCAGAACAAAGACCTTCATCTTTGGTTCACTTTGATATGCAATAGAAAGTCTTTTTTTTGACATATAAAATAGAAAGCTAAAAAAGAATATTCAGGCGAAGCAATCCAGTTATGATCTATCAGTATTTATGATGATTAATGCATTTACTATTATTTAAAAAAAGGCCAGAGAAAGAGATTCATTTGGTGATATATTTACATTCATTCTTTGATACAAAAGCTAATTATAAGCAAAATAAAAAGTCATTTTTCGGAACACTTTTTAGTTGGTTTCCAAAAAAAGAATTCAGCTAATTTTTTTCTCTGTCAAGCATGTTTTGTCTCAAACTTTTCAAATGCTACTACAATCATTGTCAATTTTGGGAAAAAATGAGATCTGTAAAAAAAAGCTGTTAGCGCAATCCCTGTAGAATTAAAATGTGAAACACAATAAAGCTCCTTTTCTGGAATCTATCTACCACGGTCTGTGATGGTCTGTAGAGCTTCTCTGTCGTGGTCTGCATTATGATGTACGGAGTCTCTAGAGAACATCACAGACCGTGACAGAGAAATTAATTAATTAATTAACCAGCTAACTAATTAATTAATTTCTCTGTCACGGTGTGGGGGGGGGGGGGGTGGGGCCAAATTTTAAACAATAT